TGAAAGATGTTTTTGCTGCTGGTGCCTTTCTCATTTACATTTGTATAAAATGATGATGCATTTTGCTGATGGGTGATATTTCATACTTGTTGCGGTTTGAAAGATGAAAATAAAAATAATGTCTTGAATTTAATTAAACACCCCATGTGGATTTTACTCACGAATAAATTTGCTCCTAGGTCTTTCTCAGTTTCTCAGTTGATTGCCCTCAGAATTGTCAAAACTTGTGGAAGACTTAATTATAATAATGGTAGCTTTCATAGTAATAATTTGCTATCATGTGAATATAATATGAATTAAGAGGAAAACATTTCTAGTTTGGTGTTGTTTAAGGCATATTTGAGTCTTTCTAATGAGGCTGTGGAGACACAGAAGGTTGGGAAACAGAGCAAAGCACAGTGAACTTGAGATATTTCAGCACCCTGGACAGCTCTAAACTCTGAGCTAGTCAAATTGGTTAAATCTGAGAGACTACGTTGTGTTATCGCCATCTGTACTTCCATCTGTCTTGTTAGACAGGTCCCGTGGCTGGATGGTTGGCATTGTAACTGCTAATTTTAACCCTGTATTCTTCGATGTGGTTGCTCTTTATTTCTAAATGTAAAAATCCAGACAGGTAGCCGTGAATACTATATATTCACAGCCTGTCTGTGCTTAAATGTTTAAACTCCAGTGATTTCTCTTTCACGCTCTCTCTTATTGTCTTTCTTCCCTAACTTTATCCAGCCATTGTGGAGAGCTTGTGGGCAATAAACTGTTTCCAGCAATGTCCAGTGGTTTACCACTAAACAACACTGTCCAAGCAAAGCTGTAAAAAGATATTTCCTTTACCAGCCAAGAGAAGCTCTTGATTATTGTGGATTTATGTGCATGCTTGTGCTCTTCAGGAAATATTGTACAATTGCACATCCTTCTTGGAAATACTAATATAGTTAACTACATAATGTAGTATGATTTATAATAATAAGGCTTAATTCATGGTCAATATTTGCACTTCTGTTACTTAGTACATGGTCCTCCCTTCTCCATGAAGAAAAGACTCATGAATTGGGCATTGTCTTTTAGTTCAGCGAGTCAAATTTGTTTGTTACCTGGAGGCAGCACAGTACCATAGAGGGTTAACCACTTGCTGCCTGTCAGCTACAGTAGTTGCAATGGTTTTCACTACATCTGTATGCATCTTGTTGTACGAGTATGTAAAGTCTGTAGCTTCAGGCACTTTGTCAAATGCAACATTAGGTAGTTCAGTGTCTCCTGCATTGTTTCTATACAGGTGCATCTCAATAAATTAGAATGTTGTGGAAAAGTTCATTTATTTCAGTAATTCAACTCAAATTGTGAAACTCGTGTATTAAATAAATTCAATGCACACAGACTGAAGTAGTTTAAGTCTTTGGTTCTTTTAATTGTGATGATTTTGGCTCACATTTAACAAAAAGAGATAGTGAATTGGTGGGTTTTTGTTAAATGTGAGCCAAAATCATCACAATTAAAAGAACCAAAGACTTAAACTACTTCAGTCTGTGTGCATTGAATTTATTTAATACACGAGTTTCACAATTTGAGTTGAATTACTGAAATAAATGAACTTTTCCACGACATTCTAATTTATTGAGATGCACCTGTATGTCTGCTGATCTCTGTATATAAAGCATACAGTGTATGCACTTAGTTAAAAGTTTGGACACACTTGACTGAATTTGTATTTCAGTCTTAAATTTAAGGAATAATTTACCCAAAATGAAAATTCTGTCATTGTTTACTCATTCTCATGTCATTACAAACATTTTTGCTTCTGTTACACATGAAAGATATTTTGCGAAATGTCTCAGTTTTTTTTTCTTTCATACAATCAAAGTCAATGGTGTCCAACATTGTCTGGATACTAACTAACTCATTCTTTGAAAATATCTTCCGTTTTTCACTGAAGGAAGTAAGTCATACAGGTTTGGAGGGACATCATGCTGAATAAATGATGACAGAATTGTCATTTTTGGCTGAACTATCCCTTTACGTTCAACTAATGATTTCCCACAAAATGTAGAGCTTTTTTATGTATAAATAATGTATAAATTGTATCCATGTATGAATTCCTTAAAAAAACTTTTTTTTATTAATTTTGTTCAATGGACAAGTTGGACAAGATAACGAAGGAAAGCCAACAATTGTCCAGAATATATGGAAACACATTCAGTTTAAGAAGTATCTCAGGATATGCCTCAAATATACAGTGCTGCTTGAACATTTCTGCATAAATATGACCCAAAAGATCATCAGATTTTCACACAAGTTCTGAAAGTTGACAGAGAATCCAATCAAGCAAATGAGACAAAAATATATACTTTGTCATTTATTTATTCTGGAAAATGATCTCTAATGATCTGTGAGTGGCAAAAGTATGTGAATCTCTAGGATTAGCGGTTAATTTGAAGGCGAAATTAGAGTCCATCTGTTCAGAGGTGTTTTTAATCAATGGGATGACAATCAGGTGTTAGTGTGTGCCCTGTTTTATTTAAAGAACATGGATCTATGAAAGTCTGATCATGTTTGTGGAAGTGAATCGTGGCATGAACAAAGGAGATCTCTGAGGACCTCCAAAAGAAGATGTGTTGTTGCTCATCAGGCTGGAAAAGGTTACAAAACCATCTCTAAAGAGTTTGGACTCCACAAATCCACAGTCATACAGATTGTGTACAAATAGAGGGAATTCAAGACCACTGTTACCCTCCCCAGGAGTGGTCAACCAACAAAGATCACTCCAGAAGCAAGATGTGAGGTTGCAAAGAACCCCAAGGTAATTTCTAAGTAGCTAAAGGCCTTTCTCACATTGGCTAATGTTAATGTTCATGAGTCCACCATCAGGAGAACACTGAAAAACAGGGTGTGCATGGCAAAGTTGCAAGGAGAAAGCCACTGTTCTCCAAAAAGAACATTGCTGCCTGTCTGCAATTTGCTAAAGATTATGTGGACAAGCCAGAGTGTTATTGGAGAAATGTTTTGTGGATGGATGAGACCAAAATAGAACTTTTAGGTTTAAATGAGAAGCACTATGTTTGGAGAAAGAAAACACTTTCCAGCATAAGAACCCTATCCCATCTATGAAAAGGTGGTGGTGCAAGTGTCATGGTTTGGGCCTGTTTTGCTGCATCTGGGACAGGATGGCTTGACGTCATTGATGGAACAATGAATTTCTGAATTACACCAGCAAATTAATGTTAATGTTTTGGAATGGTCAAGTCAAGTCCGGACCTTAATCCAATTAAAATGTTGTGGAAGGACTTGAAGCAAGCAGTTCATAGGATGAAACCCACCAACCTCACAGAGTTGAAGTGGTTCTGTCCTGAGGAATGGACTAAAATTCCTATAAGACGTTGTGCAGGACTGATCAGCAGTTACAAGAAATGTTAAGCCGCAGTTATTGCTGCAAAAGGGGGTCACACCAGGTACTGAAAGCAAAGATTCACATACTTTTGCCACTGACAGATATGTAACACTGGGTAATTTTCTTAATAAATAAAGACAAAGTATACATTTTTGTCTCATTTGTTTGATTGGATTCTCTGTCAACTTTCAGAACTTGTGTGAAAATCTGATGATCTTTTGGGTCACAATTACGCAGAAATACAGAAAATTCTGAAGGGTTCACAAACTTTCAAGCAGCACTGTAAGATAGATTTGGTTTCTTTAAATATTTTTTTTCTCTACATATTTCCCATACTTCCATTTTCATTTCATGGTTTTGATGACTTCACTATTATTCTAAAATGTTGAAAATAGTAATTAGAATGAGTAGATGTGTCAACTTTTTGATTGGTAGTATCGGCCCTATTTTTCAAGATGGAAGTAAGCTATTTTCTGTAATTGTCATGTGATTCTTTAGGTATATAAGAATGACACAGTACAGTATACAGTAAAACGATTTGCAAAACAAACCATTGTGTCCATGATTGTTGTAACAAATTAAAATATGATAACATACCAACATCAAGCAGCATAACAGACAGGTTTTGTGCATCTAACTGACACCAGAAGTCTTGCGCATTCAAGGTAAAAATGACTGCGTCTGCTTTTACATTAAAAATAAGGTGCATACAGTGTGCTTTGGGTTTGAAATGCTTAGTTTGTTTTATGAGAGGAATAATGTAAACGTTTGGAATGAGGAGGAATCCTGCAGTTAGAAGAATCTGGGTCAGAGTGCTGGCGGATTAGAGCCGACTCTTTCCAACTCTCAATTCTTGGGAGAAGATTTGGACTCTGCCTTTCTTTTGGTTTCTTTTCTTCCTCATCCTCGATCTCTCCTTCACTTCTTCTCTTAAGGTCTCTGCTAAACTCTTCCATAGAGAATCAACGTGTGATGTGTATGTATGTAAGTGGCAAGGGTGCAAAAGCCAAGTGCTAAAACTATAGCGTTTCAATTAACACTTTGCTTATTCTGTTAGTCTCTCACATCTGCTCCCTCTTCAACCTTCTGATTTCATACCCTGTCTTTCATGTCTATCTATCTGAACCTTTATTATCTCCCCTTCTCCAGCTGCCATTGGAGTCCATTATCGACAGTCAGGCTAATGGATTCTGGAAAGTCCTTCATGTTCAGCCGTTGGTTTCAGCTCAGAGCACCACAGGAACGCATGTAGCAGACTATATCAAGAATACAGGACTTAATGTATTGCATGTCAGCTCAGTATATTGAGTTGCTTCTTCATGCTGTAACAGTGAGCACAGTTTCCTCAGTGACCCGAGCCCAAAGGCAGGTTTGATAGTGATGGAAGGGAGTATTGAGTGTTTAGATAATGGTATTGATTTTAGAACTGCCTACCGAATGGCCCCATCTGCCCTGTGTAGGACCATTAGCACCTAAGCTCAGATCGTGTGAGAGCACAGTCTTGGATTGGTCTTCCTCTCTCAAGAGCTTCCTACTCTAGGCTCTCTCCAGCTTTCAGCTCATCAGTTGCACAGGACTAGTTAAAAATGTATTTATCTATTCTCTTTTCTCTCCCCAGACAAACATCCCGTTCCTCCAGAACGTGCTGAGTAATAATCAGTTCCTGAATGGGACGGTAGATACTCAGTTCATCGATGAGAATCCAGATCTCTTCAACCTCAAACCGGTGCAGAACCGAGCCCAGAAACTGCTTCACTACCTGGGTAACCCTTTGTTGAACAGTTGATTCAGTGAACATAATTCACACTTGTTTGACTGAATTTAAAGGTGCAAATTTGTTTTCTGATGTTTATTTCATATTTTATGTTTGATTCATTTCATGAGTGCTATTCGTTACTTTTCGTGTCAGAAATTAACTTTTTAAATTAGATTTGATTTGCTCCCCTGGAATTGATTATCAGAGGCATTTATACCTTAATGAGGGTATTTATTCCAAACCATAAAACACAGCATGTTGTCGATTTATGACAAAAACTCAGTTGAGCTAATTAATTGATCTAAATTTTCAGTATGACCAGTATGCTGCTAAATATAAAATCAAATCAAGTAGCTTAAAATAATTGCCAAGATGTCATGAAACTATAAGCCTTTATTGCACTCATTTCAACTAAACACATTATTTAATATGCCTAGAATAGTATATAATAAAAGGTCAGACAGCAGATAAAATCAAAATCCATAGAATATACTACAGGGCATTTTTGACCCCACATTGATAACATCTGGGACATTTTTGTCACTTTCGATGTGTAAAACTTTTAAATGACTGAATGCATGTTTAATGCATCAGTTATCTTATTTCAGATTATAAACAGCTCTCATGTTTCTATTATGAATGTTTAACATCAGTGCAACTTATGCAGAGAGAATTTAACCATTTAAAAGCTAAGCATCAGTAAGATTTTTTTTTTTTAAGAAATATAATACTCAACTAAACTGCATTAAATTAATCAAAAGTGAGAGTAAAGACATTTAATGTTATAAAATATTGTTATTTGAAATAAATTATTTTGAAGTTTCTATTTAGCAGAGAAAACAAAATTAGAAAAGCACAAGCAGCATATTAGAAAGATTTCTGGAAGATCATGTGATACAGACGACTGGACTAATGGCTGCTGAAAATTCAGCTTTGCATGACAAGAATAAATTGCATTTTAAAATATTTTTTAAAAGAAAGTTATTTGAAATTTTAGTAATATTTCACAATATTATTTTTTTTACTGAAGTTTTGATCAAATAAATGCAGCCTTGGAGAGCAGAAGATACTTCTTTTAAAATAAGAATAATATAATTAAAAATTTTGAAAGGTATTGTGCATATGAACAAAAATGTGTAATTTTCACCATCCCTGCTCTTTCTCAGCTGCCCTTTACAAAGTTTGTCAAGCCAAGAGCCAAAACCTTTTAAGTAATGTGGGCTGTGCAGTCTCCAGTCCACTTGACCCATCCACTCAGTGTATTATACCAGCAGAGGTGGATTTGAAGCAGTTTGAACTATTTGTATGTGATTGCGTTTGCTCGTCATTCAGGGCATGTTATGGTGAACGGCCCGACTACTCCGATACCTGTCAAGGCTAAGCCTTCTCCCATCGATCCGGTCATCCCACCAGTACCCCTCGGTGAGAAACACACACACACACACTTTCCTTATCTTACATTCACACGCTGTCAGTTTCTCACACTACAAACTCAGCATAAGCTGCCTTTTCACTTGGTTGCCGTGATATTTCATTGATGCACTACAGAAGGCATGAAGTAGAGTATGTTTACATCTTTCAGAAGGTGGTCATAATTCATCCCTCCCCCTCAGCGTTTCATGTAGTTACCTTTGACTATATTGTATTATAATCTACATCAGGAGGAACAGAATATTAAGACGTTTGTTTACAAAAGAGCCCCTCCACCACATTTTCATTCACTTTTTTACTTCCATCTTGTGTGGATTTGTTTGGACATGTGCCAAGAGCGAAAATCAATTGTTATGATCTGGAAAAACTACTTTATTTTTTTCTGTTATAAAACTGTATGTCTATTAAGATGCACATTGTTTTGCGTTTTTGTGTCTGAATGTGAATAATAGCCCTGATAAAACTAGTTTTTTTTCCTTTGTAGTCCTACGCAGCGTGGTGTTAATAATGTCTGTATTATTATTAATTGTCAGTTTGTGTGTTTGTATGCACTCTGCAGGTGAGCCACCAGTGGGTTTCAGGGATGTGCTGCTGAGAGAGGGTCCAGATGGTTTTGCGAAGGCGGTACGTGCCCACCAGGGTCTGCTGCTTATGGACACTACGTTCAGAGACGCCCACCAGTCCCTCCTGGCCACTCGTGTACGCACTCACGACCTCAAACGGATTGCACCTTTTGTGGCTCACAGCTTCAGTAACCTCTTCAGCGTGGAAAACTGGGGAGGTGTGGTACTAGTTCGACACTATTGTTTTCTTTCGTTCTCATTCTTTCTCTCTCTCCCTTCCTCCCTCCCTCGCTCCCTCCCTCCCTCCCTATTTTTTGCCTTACCGCTCTCATGCATTCTGGCAGCAAACCCAGCCTACTATTCTCCAGCTTGACTCGAATATTTGCCTCATTCCAGCTGAATAAGACAGATCGATCAAATACCAGTGAAGCCAGGGTCTGGTTTTGATTGCTCTTAAAGACTCTGGATGTTTTAGTACTTTTAAGGAATAAACGTTTGTTAAAAATGAATGCAATTCCATTGTTAAATTGTTTGATGATTTCACTAATAAATAAGTTTAAAACTCTTTTTTTTGCAAAAGGTGTGTTTACACAGGCTTTTCCTAGGTACCATAAATCAAATAAAACAGAAATAGTAAGCAACTACTACTGGCAAAACACATAATGTATTTTTAGATACATGTTGGCATATGAATTATGGATAAATGAAACTACTAAAAGTTTTCACTGAAATAAAATATAAACATTAGATGAGAAACCTAAACTGAAATGAAAAAAGTAAACGAAAATGAGAAATAAAACTGAAAATAAAACCAAACTTAAAATCAATCAAATAGGAAAAAAATATATAAAAATGACAAAGCACATACAAATTTCTAAAACTAAACCTGTGTGTTGAGTTCATTTCTGGAATCAAAGTGTGGACTTACAGTATGATTCCAATAGGAAGGTGCTTTACATGCTTCTTAGAGTTTTCCACATATGTTCCTCCAATGCTGGATATTCTGATCCTCTTATTTATTTTTTGTGTGCTGTCTCTCTTTCTTCTTCACCAGGCGCTACTTTTGACGTGGCAATGCGTTTCCTATGTGAGTGTCCCTGGAAAAGGCTTCAAGAGTTGAGGGCTCTGATGCCAAATGTGCCTTTTCAGATGCTTCTGAGAGGTGCCAACGCCGTTGGATACACCAACTACCCTGACAATGCCGTCTTCAAGTGAGTCATGTGGTATCTTACACCACAACCTGCTCACAGTCTGAATGAACTTCTCAAATGTTAATCTTTTTACTGACGGGAATCCCAAGGAATTAAATGTTCTGATTCAGACTCCACTTACAGTAATGGTTATTTTCATACCTTCGAGGAAGCACGTGAGGAATCAAATTGGAAATTACTATTTTTCTTGTTTGTCAATATTAAAAAGAACCGGCTCATTTGAGTCATTTGTTCATGAATTGCTTGCTATAACTTTGTATTGCATTCAGTAGTAAATTATTTTGCCATTACACTGTAGATTCAGGAACAGCACAATGCTGCTGCTGAATAGTGACACATGAAACACTGACAGAGTATTTTAATATGGTTTCCCACCCACTTCAGCGGAAGAATGCAGACATTAACGAACAAACTGAAAAATCATTCAGTTCCACTATTTGTTAGAAAAACCCTTTGTCTTCACTAGCTTTTGTCTTCTCCATTTGTTTCTTGCTTCCACTGACTCTGGCCCCAAGCACCATTCAGATGGCTTTTAATTCATATTAGAATGTGGAACTGGGGAGCATTTGTGCTCATTTAATGGCTTTGTTTCAGACCTACCATAAAATGGCTGCTACTAGTTTCCATTCAGCATTTTCAATGGCAAAATAAACAAATGTAAGTCTTATGGATCAAAAATCTCCCATAAAATGTAGGCAACTGACATTTTGATGGGCCCTAATACTTGCTTAAATCAGGTAGGAGAGCAAAGCTAACAGGAATCTTCTAAACCTCCCCTAAGTAAACAAACCAGTGTTATTTTAATATTATTTATATGCTAATATTTTGAATGAGCTTTTTTGTATTTTCATTTTGTTTTATTTTTTATCAATTTTGTAATGTGCTTTTGTCATTTTATTTGTTTTGTTTTTTATAAAAATGCTATTTCACTTTATTTTTATTTCAGTTTAATTTGTCATTTTAGTAACATTTTATGATACTTCAGCCTAAACTTGTCAGTCAGTTCCCAGGGCAGTTCAGGTTTTTCATCTTATTATATAGAATAGATATATCTATTATAATATATAATGATAATATATATTTTATATTTATTTCTGCTTTATTTCAGTTACCAAAAAGTGTTTTAGCTTTCTAGTTTTAGCTTAAGTTAACAATAACAACACCGAAACAAACAGCTCTGTGATATATCGATACTCATTACATCATTTCCTCTGTTTTTGTTAGGTTCTGTGAGGTGGCCAAAGAAAACGGTATGGACATCTTCCGTGTGTTTGACTCGTTGAACTATCTTCCAAACATGCTCTTGGGGATGGAGGCAGCTGGTGCAGCAGGAGGAGTGGTGGAGGCGGCCATCTCGTACACTGGCGATGTTTCCGACCCCACGAGGCAGAAATATTCCTTAGACTACTATCTCAAACTAGCAGATGAACTGGTCAAGGCTGGAACACACATCCTCTGTATCAAGGTGGTTGTTTGTTTATTTTTGTGTGGGTTTTTTCATTTTTTTTTTTTTATTTGTCTGTTTTGTTAACCTGACAAATTAACAGTTAAAAAGATAGATGTAAGTCGATAGATAGATAGATAGATAGATAGATAGATGGATGTTGTTCTGCTTAGACAGAAGGATGGATGGGTGAATAGGTAGAGAGATGCGTGGGTAGATATTTTGCATGGGTAGATATTTAGTATATTAAACTATTAAATTATAGTATATGTCCTGATATCTCTGCAGGACATGGCGGGTCTCCTAAAGCCTGACTCTGGCCGTTTGCTGGTGGGAGCGTTGAGGGACCGTTTCCCAAACGTGCCGATCCATGTGCACACTCACGACACCGCAGGGGCCGGTGTGGCTGCCATGCTGGCGTGTGCAGAGGCAGGAGCAGACATTGTGGATGTGGCGGTTGACTTGTCCTGATAACTGTGATTGACAGGTTACTTAACAGTTTTGCATTAATTGTGGAAAGCATAATTGTTCGTTTCTGGCAACTTTGTCTCATCCTGGTTAGTATCCATATATGTATATGTAGTTATGATAGACTGATAGATGGACAGATGGATGGGTGAATATGTAGACAGGTGTGTAGATGGATGGATGGACAGGTAGATATGGATATAAGGATAGATAGACAAATGAACAGTTAAAAAGATAGATGTAAGTCGATAGATAGATAGATAGATAGATAGATAGATAGATAGATGTTGTTATGCTTAGAAGAATGGATGGATGGATGGATGGGTGAATAGGTAGATAGATGCATGGGTAGATATTTTGCATGGGTAGATATTTAGTATATTAAACTATTATATTATAGTATATGTCCTGATAACTGTAATTGACAGGTTACTTAACAGTTTTGCATTAATTGTGGAAAGCAAAATTGTTCGTTTCTGGCAACTTTGTCTCATCCTGGTTAGGACATGGTGTTAGAGTGATTAATTGGTTGTTTTGCTTTCTGTTGTTCTCTGTGCATATAAAACAGTTCCTCATCTATTTTAGTTTGCCTGAGTTTCCATGATACAGCCCATCACTCATTTTCCAGGTCGTATGTTAAAGGTAACATGATGTAAACATTCTTCTATTATAAAAGCTATTTTCATGAACAATTACTTCTCATCCTTCTGCAGTTGTGAAGCTCTTACCTCAACCTAAAATGCTCTTTGTGGTATTTAATATTCAACACACCTGTTTTACATTATTTTTCAGCTAGTGCCTCATTTTATGCAAATTTTCCCACACTTTTATTCTCTTAATATTTCTTTCCCCTTCCTCATAATCCGGGGGCCAATGAGGTCATGGGAAGTCAGCTAAAAGAAGAAGAAAAGCAAACAAAGCAGGGCAGGAGTGGTAATGAAAGAAATGGAAAAAAAATGATAACAGCACGGCCAGCCAGCTCTGGAAAGGAGGAGAAGATAAAGAAATTGATGTTGGGGCGAATGAAAAGAGTAGAGAGAAGGGTCAGTGCGGACAGACATCATTTGGATGTTGGTGGCTGACCCCTAGACCTTTCCTTAATTGTGACATTACTGTGGCTGCTGGTGCTTAACCTTCACTGATGAGTCTCGTGCCCCGTTGGGCCTTCTCGCAGTAGGGTGTGCGTGTTTGTGGCCAGAGACTTTTCAGTGTGGTCGGTATGGGAGACCATCTGTCCAACCATGGGTCACTGCGTCACCTGCCGCTGTCGTGACCAATGGCATGAAGATCTACTTCATTAAGGCTGCTTCATACTGCCACAGCAAATGTCAACACTTCTGACATCCTGTTGACTGTATAATTAACATCACTCAAGGAAAAGTGCTGTTGTGCTGAATATCAACATTCATTTGTGGATATTGTTTCTCTACAACTAAAGGATTATTACATAGGTATTATTAATCTGGTCAATGCTAATAGGTTGATAATTATTTTCATGTTATTAAAATGCAGTAATATTTTTTTCTAATTAAATTAAAAATAACATGTTAATAGCCAAAATCAATAGTTTTAAATGCTACAAGTGAATTTAGGCATCATGACATTATAATGTACAGTATGAAAAACTGATGTTCATTTTGAGATTTTGTAAAAATGATATTTAATATGTGTTATTAAATTAGAAATGTGATAAATGAGCATGTTTTCAATATCAACCAATACTGATAAATAAATAAAAAAATCTCTAATACCAGCCATGAGCCTTATAGTGCTCTTATAAAGTTTTCATATGGCCTTCCACAATTTAAGGGCTTAAAATATCTTAAATCAGAACAGAAAGTCTTAAAATCATAAAGTCATGGCATTAAATGTTGAACTCGTGGCAAAAAATTAATATCTTGAAATTCAGTCTTAAATTTACTTTCATATAACTTGCAGAAACCCTGTACCAATATTTTGTACATCAGCCCACTTAGAATAAGTGGTCGACCAATATATAGCCATGGCTATATATTGGCAAATATCGAAAGCAGTTATTAAAATACAGGCTGTGTAAGCTAATATAATTTACACCCTAGGCTTTCTAATTAAGCCACCAAACATCACATTAATAAAGCACAGAGACGTGAGTTGTGGCACTAATATACTGGAAAACCCTGGTTGTTGTTTCTATGAAAGTCTATCTTTTATGTATAAAAACAACCCCCTCCTCTGGAGCTCCACATGGCGTGGGTGTGTGACTTTGGCGGTACGAGATGCATCAGAGAGCTCACATGATGAGGAAGAGTTTTTGTTGATTCAGTTTGTTTTATTCCCACGAGATTCAGCCGTACCCCCTCATTCTCACTACCCTGCGTTTCTTTGGTTTTCGCTCCTGGAGGTGTTACCTAGGTAATTGAATTGTTTGGAGGCTGTCAGGTTTCCTGTGGCAATGTTATTGCAGTCTCTGTTTCTCTGTGCACTGTTTTGTTGCCATATGCAACATCCAGTATTAATCACCTGTTTACAGCTTTTTAAAACAAGCTGCCGTATGTGTTGATATGAAGAGAAAGAGACAGCGCTGACAAACGCTTAATACTTATTACAGCACTCGCAAGGCAACACTGTATTGATATTCCCCAAACATTCCGTTTGTTCTCTCCTCCTCCTGAACCTCCGCCTGAACCTCTCAACATACAGGCCAAAAATCAAACGAACTTACATTGATAGAATGTTTACCATTTAAAATTTGCATGTGCATACTATTTGCATACTGAGTTCCAATTGGTCTTGTTTCTTGCATCTGTTTGCGTGCTGTATTGTGATTGGTGTTTTCCGTCATTCCTCTATTTAACCAATATAGCCACCTTTACACAGCAAGTAGTATCACGTTATGTGTTGATTCTCATGCACAGCTGACCAAAACAAGACCTGCTGAGTGTTATGACAACCTGCAAATTGACTCTAATGTGGCGCTTATGTAAAAATATGTTCAAAATCAAACACGGACAGCAATTTGTTGCAAATCTACTTCATTGTAAAGTTTGTTGACTGAACAACATCCTATAGTTTGATTTTCTTTTTTTCTTTCTTTCTTCTCTTCCTTCCTTCCTTTCTTTCTTTCTATCATTCTTTGTATCGTATCGTTGTATCTTTTTTTTGTAACTTTGTATAATTCTTTATATTGTTGTATCGTTCTTTCTATCATTGTATAATTGATTGTATTTTTCTAGCCATCCTTCCATGAATTTCTCTTTCCATCATCCATCCATCCACGAATTTCTCTTTCCATCCATCCATGAACTTTTCCATCATTTAACCATTATTTTGACAACTAAAATATAATCTATTGTTTCCCTATTTTACATGCATTTCCATAAGAAAGGATAATATAGAATTAAAGTGAAGAAAAAGGGAGAAAATAAAGGTTAAAAGTGCCCCTACAAAAACATACCAAGATGTGAGTGAGGATTTATTGTGAAATGAGAGATACCAAGTCTGTCTGTCTCAAGTTTACTTATCAGTCCATCTAGATGGATGGATAGATGGATAGATACAACATCCTGTCATCTTCCCGATTGTCCTTCAACTTTCTCTTTCACCTTGTCATTATTTAATCTGCCTTTCTCGCTCACTCTATCAATCTCTCGTTGTCCTGCTCAGGTCCCTCTGCCTCCCAAAGTATCTCTCTTTCGCTCTTCTCTTCAAGCCAGTTCATCACGATAAAGGCCGTGTGGCCAGAGATCAATGCCTGGACTGACTGACGTGCTCTGATAGATTGGTCTGCATGGGAAGAGCTGGACACTCCGTTTTAACACCGTAACATCAATAGCGCCTAATAGCCTGTAGTCAGGGTGGCAGCGAGTAGGAGAAGAAAAATGCATGCAAGCTAGTTTCATGAGAGCGTTATTGTGATTTCAGCAGTTGTATAACGGGTTTGTGTGCACACGTTAGAATGGATTTGTGCGTGTGTTATCTTTTGCACAGGAAAACTATTGTGATCACAGCGATGGGCAATTAGTGAGGATGAGGGAGCCAAATGAGCATGTAAACTCTGTTGCAAGTGGCGCGCCTCATTGATTGATTAATTGACTGACTGCTGCTGGTAAATGATGAAGCCGTGAGTGGCAGGAAGCAATCTATGCTCCGCCACCAATGCCCTGCTTCTACCACATACAGGCCCCCGTGTGCTGAGCTTTCGATGACTGATTAAAAGCTTTGGAAGAATGCCTGATTAGCTGGTGCAGTCTGTTAAAGAGACAAGGACTTTCATTATTTTTGATTAAATATTAATGTCAGATAGTCATTTGTTGTGCTGCTTGTTCTCAGATTGCTTATTCCTCTTGGTAGACTAATGATGTCTCCTCCTGTCTTTCTTTGCTCATTTTTTTTCTTTTTTCTTTTTCTTTCACTTCACTCACACCTCTTTCTCAGGCATCTCTCTTGAGAAGGTATTTGACTACAGTGAGTATTGGGAGGTGACCCGAGGCCTTTATGCTCCGTTTGACTGCACTGCCACCATGAAGTCTGGGAATGCTGATGTCTATGAGAACGAGATCCCAGGTGGCCAGTACACCAATCTCCACTTTCAAGCGCACAGTATGGGGCTGGGGAACAAGTTTAAGGAGGTGAAGAAAGCCTACGTAGAAGCCAACAAGCTGCTCGGTGACCTCATCAAAGTGAGCAATTACCCCATAACATTTTCTTTATTTACATATTCAAACCTATTTTTAGTTATTTGTGATGGGCTTTGTGGACTTGAGCTCTGTTTTATAGGGATTCACTCATACCCATAACGCAACAGTCAAGTTGTCCCATTTGTAACAAATTACAGCCATAATCCTGGATTGATTAATAAGAGATTGGTTAGAAATTACAGCAAAAAAGTGGCAAAGACTGACTCCTATGAAGCATTGCAAATATATTTGTTTATATCGTTTGAATACTTTGTCGTACATTTTATTTTACAATTAAAAAAAGAGAACTTTTGTCCTTTTTTTACTTTAAATCAAAATTTGCAATCTTGTAATCCTCCTCTGAGTCAGTTGTAATTCTTCTCTGAGCTGGTTTTGCATAGAATTCTTTAATAGGAGTCGTTTTGGAGAAAATTAATGAAAAAAGCGTTCAGAACCAAGGATCCTGAAAAGTATGTGATCACTTTTACACTATTCAGTGATTGCCAGACGAGAAATCAGGTCAGCTCATTTCTTATGAAATGCATAATACTTAAAAGTTTTTAGACATGATGACTCAAATAGAAAATATTAATGCAGTAGTACACGTTGCATTAATGTGCAAACTGTTATGATAGACTCCTTCAACTCTTCATGTCTGTTATAACTTATGTTAATCCAGATCTTCAGTCTCTCTGAAATCACAGACATTTACATTTCTCTAGTCTGGTGTATTTATAATGTAACCAAAGACATCACACCTTTTAGCTAATTAGGTTGACGTCTTTTCCTCAGATGTTATGTTTCACAAACTTGAGTCGCGATGTTGTCAAATGCTCACGTTTTATGAGTCATTCCTTTTATTGTCACGCATGTCCATTTCCCAGCTTGCTGATATTAATCTGATGTTAGAATTCTTCAAAAGTATTTTGTTATAATTTGAGTTATTTTGGTCAAATGTAACGTGCAAACATGTAACATCGATTCCTCTATCATACAAAATATTCAGTTCTTACTAGACTTGTGCTTGTTACGTCTGGTTCACATCATTTATTCAAAGACTTTGTTGGACAGTTTGGATTTTAAAAACGTCCTGCTACCACTTTGTACTCCCTTAGACATATAAAAGATAGATGTTTGTGTCTCTAATTTTGCTCTGGAATAGATTCTTTATTTTCCTTACATTTTTTTTTCCTGTCGAAACTAGTTAATTTGGTCCTGGCACGTAATCGCTTCAAAACAGTCTAGCTCTTCAAATAATAAAAGCCATCTCTGAAGAGACAGCTTTATAGCTTTTAAAAAAATCAGTCATCTGAGAAATCTATCATAAGATATAATTAGCAGCATAAAATCCACTCAAGCCTTTAGTAGGTAGGTATAGATAAAGATAAAGATAAAGTAAAGATAGTTACATGTCCATGAAAGAAATATATATTTTATATGCCGTATATATTTTTAGATTTCACAATTTTTCTTCATTCTGTCCCCCTTTTGAATTATTTTATCCTTTACTAGTTTATTTTAAATGTTTCTTTGGTGTGGCAAATGAAAACTTTAATGATGATAATAATAATAGATAATTGTTTTATTATATAGCGCCTTTTTAAGACTCAACGAGTCAACGTCACTTTCAGACTTATTAAAATGTTTTGTTTTATACTAATAAATATTGCCTTGCCTTGCCTATTATACAAAAAAAAGGAAAAAGTATTTCATATAGTCCTATTTAATATGAGTTCATAAACACTGCATGCATGATAATTATAAAATAATTCTGCTTTTAGTTTTAGTTAGTTAATAGTCTGCTTTTTAGTTCTATTCATAAAATGTAAAAACTCTAGGAATAACTGTATTTTGAATATTAACTGCATTGGAATATGATTTGATAAAAAAAATTATGTGATGTGCAACCACTGTTATTCAACCAGATAGTGGAAATAAGTGGTTAAGCAGTATTCAGTCTGGCTCTCTTGCTTTGAAATCCAATTTCATATTCTTTACTTCCTGTATAATGTGAAATCCAGATAATTTTTAGGTTTTAGGTCTACAATCAGTCCTTTCAGAGATTTAAATCAGATTTCACCCCTTCATTGCATTCAAGGTTGGAAGCCAGTCATTTGAGACGAGTAAATATGCATTATTCTTTAGATTCATGCAGAAGTGTGCTGGGTTTTTCCCCCTTTTTCCATCAATGAATGGAACGTTTAAGATTGTTTATATACCGTAATCACGTCACGTGACCACCACGATCGACGCAGTTTAAATCGCTCATATGCAACATTCTCCCAGGTTAAATAGGGCTTAATTATCACCCCCTGCGCTCAGACGGGTCTCACCCTCATTCTTGAAATCTGCTCACGCTCACAAGATCATGAGCACCGTGGACCCGACAGCTCCTCTCTGCATCGCAGATTTAATTGCCTGCTTTCCTCTCTTTTTTCTCCCTCCACCTCCACATCCCTCTTATTCCGTTGCAACCGTCTCAATCTCCAGATGAAATTGAATAAAAATAACTTGGCAAAAAAAGAGGGGTAGAAAGAAGGAGCAAATAAATAATCCTATCCCTGTCTCCTATGGCCCAGAGACAGATCAACTGGGAAGAGCTTTAAGCAAAGCTTATCTGCTGTGTTTCAGAGAGGCTCTGACTGATCTCCTCCAATCAAAGGCGTCTGTGAGCGTTTGGTCTCGCCTTGCTGCTTTTCATTTCCCTGGGCTTAATTAAATGATCGAAGATAGTTGGCTTTCTGTTCTCAGGGTCCCCTCGCTGTTAATATTGTCAATATCGTAGGCCGAGCTAACAGACAACACATTAGCACTGGGTTTCATTAGCGCCTCTCCATTCTCTTTCTCCCATTCTTTTTCCCTTTTGTCCTTACTTCTCCCTAAGCTGTGTTTCTGTTTGCCACTGCACTCGTGTCTCCTCTCTTATTCCTAGTCTAGATTGGCCAGATGGCCTGAGGACGGATAAGCCTGGCGGAGAGCTGAGATGTATTGATGGAGGCCTAAGCAAGCATGTCTTTCCTTTCTTGCTTATCTGTCCTTCTCCTCTCTTCCCCTTCCTTAAGGTGACACCCTCCTCTAAGATTGTGGGTGATCTGGCACAGTTCATGGTGCAGAACGCTCTGACTCGGGCAGAGGTGGAGGAGAGAGCGGATGAGTTGTCTTTCCCCCTCTCTGTGGTGGAGTTCCTGCAAGGACACATCGGCATCCCCCATGGAGGCTTCCCGGAGCCCTTCAGGTCAAAGGTACAACCTGCACAGCGCATTTCTCACTCAAGTGTGACAAGATACCTTATTAAATGTTGTACAGGATCTAACAGTGGGCAAATTACGTTCTTAAAAGGAATATCCACCCAAAAAAAAAAGATTCGGTCATCATTTACTTACCCTCATGTCAAGATGTTTTGATATTTTTGTCTATACAATGAAAGTTAATGGGGTCCAGTGTTGTTTTGTTTAACACAAACGTTCTGATAGTAGAAATAGTGTTTAGGGTTAAAATTTAAGCATCAACTGGGTTAAGTGGTTTAGGTTAAGTGTCAAAGTTAGAACTCTAGTGGTTGGTGCTGTGTTACAGAAACATCCTCACACTACACTTTTCATTTGTAATGAATTCCTTTCATAAATATACAAATGCCTGAGACTGGAAACACAAGATCATTTTAAGAAGTTTTGCATTTCACTGCATTGCAAAGTAAGGTTTGGGGAACTCTGACCTGCAAATGTGTATCACGTAGTGTTATTTTACTATCATTGAAATACTAGTATAGTTTCTGCTAATATTTTACATTTGTTTTTATTTTTTGTATTTTCCATTTTCATTTTTTTATTTTAAGTTTGTTTTTTTTGTTGTTAATTTTGTTAATAATTTGTTCATTTATTTGTGTGTGTGTGTGTGTGTGTGTATGTATGCATGTATATATACAGTGGGTACGGAAAGTATTCAGACCCCCTTCAATTTTTCACTCTTTGTTATATTGCAGCCATTTGCTAAAATCATTTAAGTTAATTTTTTTTCCTCATTAATGTACACACAGCACCCCATATTGACAGAAAAACACAGAATCGTTGACATTTTTGCAGATTTATTAAAAAAGAAAAACTGAAATATCACATGGTCCTAAGTATTCAGACCCTTTGCTCAGTATTTAGTAGAATGTCAATATGGGGTGCTGTGTGTACATTAATGAGGAAAAAAATTAACTTAAATGATTTTAGCAAATGGCTGCAATATAACAAAGAGTGAAAAATTGAAGGGGGTCTGAATACTTTCCGTACCCACTGTATATAATTTTTCTATTTTAGTTATATTAGTTGAACTAAATGAAAATCAGAAATGTTTCCTTGGCAACTAGCTGAAATAAAACAAGTTTAAGTTTTTTTTTAATTTCAGTTAATGTTTATTTTATTTGAAATAATGAAAATGTTGTGAAACTATTATAACCTTGGTATCACATGAAGATGTGTGACCAAGATGTAACTGAATTAAAAAACACAAACTTTACAGCTGCAGGTTTGCAGCATTGCATAAAAGTGAAGTTGATTGTATATTTTTACATTTTGTATTTATTATTATGGGTTAAATGCAGAAGAAACGTTGCATTTTCAAAGTCTAGTGTTACCGGCCCTTAATTCAGAATCCTATCCTATCCTAACCATGGTGATTTCACTTAGGGAATAGAACTTTTCCAAATCTTTAGTCGAGAATTAAGATAAAAAGTTTCTGTAATACTGCCCCAGGGTTAGAAATATGGAATTAATGTCTTGTATGGGGCCAGGGGTTGTGATGAAGATGAAAGGGTCAGAGGAAGGATTTAGAATTGATTATTTAAATGAATAAAGTTGAACTTAAGTTTAAGTCTCGGCTCAGCTTGAGCTGAGATCAGAAAGAAGAGAAGAACCGGTTTTGTACAGTATTGCATAAATACAAGTTATTGAATATCTCTGCGGTGAGCAAAATAAGCTTTAGCTCTCTCACTGAAGATATTCGGTTGATCGCAGTAAAGTCTGCCTTGAGAGGGTTTCCCTACAGTCTCTAGAGTGCATTAACGCTGTGTTGTGCTTGTCAGAGATACGCAAAGCAGAACCATGTCATTCCTTTTGTTTTGAACGCCCCAATTACCCAGCAGCCATTCCAGTGCAAGATTAGCCATTTCCCTGACAAATGTGTCTCACATCAGAAATGAACAATGCTTGCATTAAAGCTTTTCTATGCATGCAAGTTTGCTGCTAATTTATTTATAATGTCTCTTTTTCATAATTAGTAGGCCATCTGCTTTGCATATAATTTAGATAACAAACATATTTGAGCAACGTGGCCTTATTTTTTCCCATCTGTTTTGTAACATTAATATTGTTCATCATTATGCAAGCTTTGGTTTGCTTACATAAAAAGTGTTTTATTTAGGTCTGCGGTGTGTATTCTGAAGTCTTTCTTTGTTTTGATGAATAAAAATTTACAATTTGCCACTTCAAGTTTAATTCTTCGCTACTTGCACTTGATTCTTCAGCCTCTTAAATCCATTTAAATGAAGCAGTAGGGAGAGATTAATCCTACTCCTGGTAATGATCGGTTATAAATATTCTCGGATTCAGTGTGGGGCTCAGGGGGATTGCCAGCACTCTACATCATCCACTTACGAGCAGCTTGAAAATACAGCGAGGAAATATGCGTTTATTGTGTGTTCAGGCACCTGCTCTTTTCTCAGGTTCTCATCACTTGTTTGTGGCACAGGTTTTGAAGTCTCTTCCCCGTGTGGAAGGACGTCCTGGAGCCTCCCTGCCCCCCATGGATTTCCAGGTCTTGGAGAAGCAGCTGCGAGATGCTCACGGTGATGAAATCACCCCGGAGGATGTGATGTCTGCAGCCATGTACCCCAAAGTGTTCCAGGAGTTCAAAGAATTCACCAGAACCTTTGGCCCTGTGGATTGTCTGGACACTAGACTCTTCCTGGATGGACCCAAGATTGCTGAAGAGTTTGAGGTGGAAGGATTTCTTTTTTTTTAATAAATAAAACATTTTCAATTATTAAACAGAAGTAGCAGCACATTTTTATTTGCTGTTACTGTGCCATAAATCTTCCTGTCATCCATGATTGTAAGTCTCATTCCTACATTCCAACCATAAGTTCCTTATTTCCTCTTCTCATATGTCTGCTGTCTGTCTCAGGTGGAGTTGGAGCGAGGCAAGACACTTCATATCAAGGCTTTGGCTCTAGGAGACCTTAATAAAGCCGGTCAGAGAGAGGTGTTCTTCGAGCTCAATGGTCAGCTGAGATCTGTTCTGGTCAAAGACACTGTGGCCACGAAGGTGTGTTTCTGAATGTCGCAACTTTTTTTTTTATAGTGAAATTTGGCAAAGTTTTGTACCAACTGCTTGAGGGTTGACTGACAAGAAGTAAATAATGTAAATAATGTAAATAAAACTGGTACAGTCATGATTTTACAAGCCACATCCAGAGTCCAGACAGCATTATTGTCGAGATGACATTTTTATGTACAGATTTGATCATAATGAACCATCAATTAGTTTTAGTTGTAGGTTATTATAATTTCAGATATTTAAAATGTAGTTTTTATTTCTATTTTTTATTTAGTTTTCCTATGCGTTTTCTAGTTTCAGTTTATTTAGCTTGTTTTAGTGTGTTAGGCTGCCATAGTTAATGTGCTAACTGATATTTGTTAATAAATATTTAATGTGTAGCTTTCATATGTAACTCCATACAGTATGTACAGTATTACCTGGTGTAATTGCTGTCTAGTGGCATTTTTATGTTATAAAGTTTTCTAATACACATGCATGCAAATAATTAAATTACTTTGTGGACATTTTTATTTTATTTTAGTACGTTTTGAAACATATTTGGAAAATATATTTTAGTTTTTTTCAGGTTTTTCCAGTTATATTAGTCTTTAGTTTTTATTTCATTTCATTCAAATTTAAGTTTCCTAAATAAATGCTGAACCAATGCATTTTATAATTTATTATTTTTATTTATTTTTACATTTATTATATTTATCTTTTTAATTAGTATGTGTATATATGTGTGTGTGTGTGTGTGTGTGTGTGTGTGTGTGTGTGTGTATATATACTGTATGTATATATACATACACACACAAACACAAATTTATAAAAGATAAATAGAATAAATGTAAAAATAAAAATAAATTAATATAAATAAATTGTGTATATGTGTTCTCATAAACAATGTTAATGTTGTAGTACCCATGTCATTATACACATTTGTGTCCTCATAAACCATATACCAGAACACACACACAAATTATCTTATAATATTCAGCATGTATTTATTTCTTGGGAATAGTTGGTGATAGTCAAATGCAAAGTGTAAATGAAACCGATGTCCCTGCTAAATCAATTTTCTTGTATTTGTAGGAGATGCATTTCCACCCCAAAGCCCTGAAGGACGTTCGTGGACAGATTGGGGCTCCCATGCCTGGTAAGGTGGTGGAGGTGAAAGTGAAGCAGGGCCAGCAGGTGGAGAAAGGACAACCACTCTGCGTCCTCAGTGCCATGAAGATGGAGACGGTGGTGAACTCGCCGCTCTCCGGCACCGTGGCCAAGATCTATGTGACCGCCGACAGCACTCTGGAAGGAGACGATCTTATTCTGGAGATCACTGAATAGATATCATGAAGGCCAACAGCAGGGAACAACACATCACCACTGCCAATCCCTGCAAGGCTAAAAACACACACGCACACACACTCACTCAGTTACATATGGAATCTATCACTTTTTAGAAGCAGCACACATTAAGGGAGGAAGGTTGAGCTTATTTTTACAGAATCTCAAAGAATGACGGTTGAATCTGAAAACATTTTGAAAACTGACTTTAGTGTCATATGTGCTTTTGTGATCACTTTTTAATTTATACGTGATGAGGATGTGAGCTAGTGTTATGCTGTTTACAGAGAAATGTTTGTCAGTCTTTAATTAGTATTAATGAATGTAGTCAAAACTAAAATATTTACACTTCAAATATAACAAGCAATAAGTTAAAGACAGAAAGAGACTTATTAGATGCATTACTAGTCACATTAAATAATGCACACAGATGTTTCATCACTTTGGTCGTGATCGTTTACATAAACTGAAAGCACTATGACTGGAAATATAAAAAAAAAAAAAAATCATGCACAATCCTTCCCTCCCCTTACCCTTAAAAGTCTTATGGCACAGAGTATCTTACTTGAATTACCAAGCGAAATTCAATTTATTTCAAGACAAATAGCCATGTAACACATACCCAATGTTCTGACCAATGGCCTAGCCTGCTTTGTTGCTGGGAAAATAAGTGCAAGAATGGATCTGACCTCGTCTCCTGAGTCTTACACTTGAGTTGTGTATCATGTAAAGGTGGAGAATAGTTACCCAGGTGGTTTGGGCTGAAGTGAGCTCCATTGAGGCCAACGAGGATCGATGACTCTATATTCAAGAGCACTTATAGACTCCGCAGCAGCTTCGGGGCACATTGAGTTGGAACACAGGCTTTAGGGGAACGTCCTTTTCCCAGGGCGCGTCTCGTGCTTGTGTTCCAATTCCTCTTTTAATGTGAATTTATTTCACTGTCCCGTTACATTCCCCTTAGCAGCAGATGCCTCATGGCTGCTGTAGTGACACCAAATGGCTTTATTCTCCAGCTTTCTCTAATTTCCCTTGTTGAACACGATTGATGTAATTGGTAATAGATAATGAGAGGTTTTATTCAACGGCATTGGAGTAATTGAAAGCACTCAGCCTGAAAATCTACGAGATGCACGGCTGTTGCGGCAAAAGAGGTCCATTGGGGTGCGTCTGAAATGGTTTTAACAGTCTTGACTTAAAGTAGACCAATTCTTCATGAGGACCAATAGCCTGCAACGTGGATATTTTCTCATCGTTCATCATAACATCCCAAGGTGGAGACTACAGCGTGCTGTTTTATCCGTGTGAATCGTACAGGCCCATAAATGTGATGATCGTCCCTTCAAATGGATGTTGCCATTAAAATGGAGCTAATGTTTTTTAGATGTAGATTTTAGAGCACAAACGTCCAACTCATCACCACAATCATTTTTGAGATTGTTCCTCTGTGTTATTTGACAAATACATCTCAGTTTACACGAGCACAAAAGACTTTATCGTGACGGGCACAAAACTAGGGGATTTGTTGGGAGAAGGGAAGCTTCCTGTTGGCTTTTGGACTTTGGTTCCCATATCAATATGGGGCACTGGCAACATCTCTGGAGAACCAATCGATGATATCAGCTCTGACAGCGCAGTCAAGCCAGCGACCCTCTCTGCGGTTCTGTGAGAGTTTTTGAGTCGAGACGTGGTTGATGCTTGGCTTTGTTTCATGCCACCAATACAACAATTAAGTATTTATCAAAGTTGTTGTTAAATGGGTCATGCGTCTTAATATAGCATCGTACATTGCTGATGAATAGGTACTTGGCATTGTTAACTCAAACTGTTGAATTTTTACAGGGTAAATATTTCTGTGCATAGATTGTCACTGTGTTTGAAATTGGGAATTTTCTGAACTAATCTGTGTGACATTTCGGATCTGATGCCTTTGATAGCATTCGTTATCTTTCCATTTGAATGTCTGTTTTTCTGTGAAGTTCATCTCTTTCGATCTGTTTTGATAATGAGGAATATAACATATGCAAATACTAATGCACCATACCCTCGTGTGTGTTATTTTAGCATTGAAAAATGTTGGAGAAAAAAAAAATATATATATATATATATAAATAAAAGGAGGATAACAGACTGTCTACAGTGTCCTGTTTGATATTTTTATTTTGCATTTTGTGCATATAATAAGTCAATAATTAAACATGTGGTGATGCAATTGTTTCGATTCATTCTCTCAAGTAGTCGATATACACGTGAATATGCAAACCACAATGTAAAAATAGCTTGACATGATGCTTTTATGAGTCGATGTTTGAGTGGGTTCCATTCAGATCAATATCTGTGATCGCGTGATCTCACGTGCCTATGACATCACATGCCTCCAATAATAGCTGCTTATTGATTGTCTGTCTGCCTGCTACATGTGGCTCAAGAAACCGTCTGTATAATGGAAGACATAGAATAATATAAGATCCATCATGTGAATAATTATGTTCATTAGCTTCTTAGAGTCTTATGATTAGGGATAGTCAGCCTGCCAACAATACTGCTGACTGATGGCTCCATATTGGTGCGCTTGTGGCAAAACGGGGTATAGGATTGTGGGATAATGTAGGAGTGATGGATGAAGCTCCCCTGTGCATCCATATGCTCATTCTATTCTGGCAGCAAGTGCGGGGTGAGTTGATTCGCTCAGCTGATGGATTGATATTTGTGGATGAAGCTCTGCAGGGTTTTTTTTATTATGTTGGTCAGTCTCGTATCTGATGGATCTCATGTTGACAGTGGGGGTGTTTAATTGGAGGAAGAATGACTCAGAAGCATTAAATAAAATCAAATTTTAGAACAGTTTTTTAATTGAGACATACCAGTATGACCCAACTGTAGGTGTGAATATGGCATATGTCCTTGGAAAAAAACAGTGGATTATGTCTTTATTAGCTCCTCTTCGGGATCAGAGAGTTTAACTTGTCATCTTGCAGTTATTGAGGCACTTTGGCAGTCTTATCAGCAGATGTATGAATCAATGTTCTTCGCCCGTGCCTGTCGATCCCACAATCCTATTTTCATTGCCTAGCTTTCATCTCTCTCTTTTTTTTTACCCTCTCGTTCTTTCGCACTCTCTCAGCTTCATGGTTTCCTGTCTCTCTCTTTTTTCCCTAGTCTTTTATCACTATAACCCTGAAGGCCACCAGATTATTCCACGTTCCTTCCATCTGTTAGAGCTCTGTTTAAGAAGGTTATCGTGTATTCAGGGAAAGTATTGGAATCCTTGCATGTACCTGGCTGTAGGTACAGTGGTGAATTAGATATGAATATTCACAGTCTAGTCTTGCCACTCTGTAATACAACAGTGTCACAAAATATTCATAAGCTCTATGTAATTCTGGCTTTTGGGTTATCCGACACGTCCCTCCTGCATACATGAGTCTCAAATAAGCCACAGTCAATACCGGAGTCGTCCTGCAATGCTACTGTCCAAAAAGCCCTTTTGCTGGTCATCTGAATGTGCATACTTCCCTGTCTCATGTCTCAGGCATAGAGTAGGCAAACAAAACCCGGATGACAGATGTACTGCTGAAATTTTGAAGGGTGCAACCAGTGGACACTTTGCTATCCCATAAGACCACAGGAGCTGAGGAACTGTCAGGTCTTGTTGAAAAACAAGTTGGTGGAAAAATGGGTGGACTCTTTTAAAGTGCAAGTGCTAGGAAAGGTGTTCCTCATGGTTATATTTTACTTTTTTAACATTTTAGTACATTGTTTTTGTGGTTTTAGTATGTCATCAGGAGTCAAAAGCAGGGTTGTACCCAAGAACATGTTTTTATTTATTGCCCAGACTTTTTAGGTATTAGGGCTGTGCGATATTGAAGAAAAATGCGATATGCAATAACTCATTAAATAATGCGATATTCGATATGCAATACGATAATGCTTAAAGTGCCACATGCTCAGATATGTCATATATATATGGTTATTTGTATGTATGTATGTATGTATGTATGTATCAAGAGCTCCTGTAAAACCACAACAAATTCCTTGTGTTTGTGAGAAGCACCCCTACAACAACTTCTGAAAGTGAACGGTAGTGTTTTACTCTAGCATTACATAAAAATGTCATTTTAACATTAGTGTAATCATTTTAACATGAGTTTAGGAACTGAATAATAAAAAGGAAAAATACAACACTGCTTAGTATTTACTCTATGAATTCAATATGCACTGATTCTTATTTAAGCTACAAAAGTTATTTAGGTAAGAGCAGTGAATGATTTTCTCTTTGTCTTTTGTTCATGGCCCCAAATATTGCAAGCCGTAGCGATATGCATATTGCGATATGTACATTTTCGATATTTTGCACAGCCCTATTAGGTATCATACTATACAATCTGTTAATATAACATTTGCATATTAAAGAGATATTTCACCCAAAAATGAAAGTTTTGTCATTATTCACTCACTCTCATGTTGTTCCAAACCTATATGAGTTTCTTTCTTCTGGTGAACACAAAAGAATATACCGGTAGTTTGAAGAATGTTGGTAACCAAACAGTTGGGTGAGTAGATGATGACAGAATTTTCATTTTTGGGTGAATTATCCCTTTAATAGACAAATTTGTAAGGCATTATGTTCAGATCTTACAGTCTGGGTGTTTTAAATTTTTTTGTATTATTTTTTTGTGTATTTGTTTTAATGTTAATGGGCTCAGAGAAGGCAAGTGAAATGCTGCCTCCTGCTGTAACTACTTTAACTGCTGGGATCGCTGTTTGACAATGTCACTTTAGAAAAATTAGTGATTTATATGCTTTTTAATTTCATATTTTGTAATATTTGTGTTGTTTTATTTTTCAACTGTTGAATAGTTTCTCGTCCAATTTTTGAGGAGGCACTGTCTCCCTTGCCTCCTTGGAGGAAATGCCCCTTCTGAAAAGTGAGGGAGACACGTGATGAACTATGAGCCTGTCCCAGTACCCACGTTTGCAGTCTTGGCAACCTGAGAGCATGTACACGTGACAGGAAGTAAGTGTGCAAGACTGTCCCAGGTCTGAAAAATGCCAAAGCTCAGTGCCCTTAACGCACACTAAATCCACAGTCTCTATTTGAGACTAAGCGTATCCCATCATTCTTCATGTTCTTAAACTCGCGTGGCCTGAAATAATGAGTCTTTATAGTAAAAATGTATAGTAAAGTTGATAACATTTGAAACTGCTTTTTATCACTTAATTAGAATTACTATTAATAAATTGTCATCACATAGAAACTACTGAACTGGCATTTAGAACTTTATTTTAAAGTGCAAAGTAGTGAAAATCAGAATGTCTAAATAAAGCTTTGTAAAAGCTTTATTTTTTTACAACACTTTGTTGTAAGTTTGTACCTTCAGGTAATCAAACATTCTACACACAATTGCAGTCTTCACGTCCACTTTAACATTTTGGCCAAATAAAGGAAATGCGTCATACAGTATAAGTTGACAAGTGGTCAGGTGCAAAGATCTTGTGCATCATACATATGAATTACACTCTTAAAAATAAAGGTGCTTCAAAAGGTTCTTCAAGTGATGCCATAGAAGAACCATTTTTGGTTCCACAAAGAACCATTCAGTCAAAGGTTCTTTAAAGAACCATCTCTTTCTTACCTTTTTATAATCTGAAGAACCTTCTTTCGCCACAAAGAACCTTTTGTGAAACAGAAAGGTTCATCAGGTGTTAAAGGTTCTTAATGGAACCATTTAGACAAAAAGGTTCTTCTATGGCATCGTGAAGCACCTTTATTTTTAAGAGTGTAGGCGGTGAGGTGTTCAATCAATAGTGGCAACTGATCTGTTAAAAAGCTGACAAGATATCAGTGTGGCTATTAAATGTTAATTGGTGGAGTGACGTACACCCAACCGTCATAACTGATTTTCCGAAAGCTGGTAAGTTATCAGTGTGTCTAATGAATAATTATTTAGAGGTGTGGTGTTCAGCTAGTATTTGCAACTGAGCTTTTTTTCCCCTTGAAACTGTGATCAAGCAAAACAAAAATCTTAGAAAAAGTCTAAAAGTTCATCAGTGGTCGAGAGCTAAGTTGTTTATTAGATTCAGTGTAGGCCTATACTATGAAAGTAAGTCCAGGAATTTGGGCACAGACTCTGTGTTTTATCATGACCTTCGTGGTTTTCTAGGAGTTCTTCAAAATCTATCAGTGAGATAACAGCTGTTCACCTGGAAATGAATCCCCCACTTCCATCTGTCTGCCTGAAGATCTGACACTGCCTCGCAGCTCTTTGGACACGTCTCATGGTCTATCTGTCTGTCCCTCACGCTGCTGTCTTTCTTAACTGAGTCAGTGATGTGTTGGAGCTGATTATGGAAGTCTGTGTGCATGTTGATGTGAGATTCAGGTTGTTTCCTCTCATCCTCGGGGGCAGCTGGCAGCAGAGTCCACTCATTCATCCCTGCACTGGTAGGCTGGCAGCTCTTATACAGCTGGGAGTTGAACAAGCTATTTGAGACCTGGGCTCAACTCTTGGTCCTGCTCTCCCATGCCTGAATCTGTAAACCCAGTCCACTTCTCATGTTCAATTGGAGTTGTGCCTTGTCATCATTACGTGCTTAC